ACCCACAATCTATGAGAGGAAGGAGATTCAGGAGGAAACAGATTCACATGTTATTCAATGACATCCAATTGTGACTTCATTTGCAATAATACCACGGCATTTTCCACGCAAAAGACAGTTGATAAAACAGGGTGGGAAAGGGAAGGGCCCCTGGGTTCTGGTCTCTGCTCTGCCACCACTTCACCAGGAGAGTTTTCTCATCTGCAAAGTGAGGTTAAACTAAAAATCTCTAGAGTTCAACTTTCAAAAACATTGAACTCCTATGAATCACTGAAATGCTAGGTTTATAACCACCCTGGTCGACATGAGCAATCATATAAACATGTATGACATGTATGACATGAACTCGAAAGTTCCTTGTCCCTATTCTGTGGGTACAGAGGAAAAAGAAGGGAAGTCAGCTGCTTTTCCTAAACAGAGCAGAGTGGATGGAGCAAAGACCATGGTGAAGGAAAGACTTAACCATATTTTACTAATGCACGAAACTAAAAGCTTCATTTTGAGTTTTTCTTCAGATTCACCAGCAAGATGATTTTTTAAAAATGTTGAATATAAAATGAGAACACTTTCTATTTTTCTTCTGAAGAACATAAAGCATTATGCACACACTCTCATTTGTCTCCCACCACCCTTGAGAGGCAAGTGTAACCTATTTCTACAGAAATCTATTTCTACAGAAAAGGGATCAACGAGAGAGACCAGGAGAGGCAAAGCTCTGAGAATATCAGCATCAAGCTACAGCTGGAGAGCAGAGGGCCTGACTCTCCTGCAACGCTCTGTCCCAGAGCCCCAACACAAACAGAGCTGCCTGCACAAAGCCCCTCAATCACAACCAGAATAAATTCCGATTTTATCTGCTGAGTTGCTGCAGCCGGGGCTACCATCATGATGATATCTGCTAGATGCCACAGACAAAAACCAAAAATAAACACTGCTGACAGGCAGCCGTGACAGGTACACTTAGGGAACAACTGGAAAAGAGCCAATCCAGAAAGTGTAACTCTCAGGAAAAACCCTTAGACCAGCAAAATCCAAGAGATACAAAATAAACTTAATTCCAAAGGCATGACTAAAACTCCTAGGTCACTAAGAAATTGAGAGACCATGAATTTTTCAACCATGTAGGAGATGAAGCACAACACTAAGGCAGGTCACCATGACAAATTAAGTCAGTTGAGTGCCATAAAAAACACTGATACAAAATTAATCAGTGGCTGATGTGGGAAGCCCCTTCCTTCCATCCTTCTGTCCTGGTCTTATAACCAAACTTCACCTTCAAGCCTTCTCTGAGGTGGGAGGAAGCACCCACTCCAGAGCGAGCCTAGGTCCTGGCCTGGCTCTTGTTGGCTGGGACCCGGCACACACAGCTCTCAGCAGCCCTCGGGGCTATACAGTGCCTGCACAATGGTCAGGTGGACTGGAGGGGACAAGGCACTGCTCCAAGGCACAAAGAAAACACTATGTCAGTGCTGGTCAAATACACAAATCACCCAGTTTTACGTTCTACACCACACTTGCCCCCACCTAGAATTACCTTGCTTATTTATTTGTTGACTTACTGCCTGTGGCCCACTGGGATATAGCTCTGGACCAGCAATCTTTCAGTCTTGGTGACGCCACACGCCTAGCTCCTGGGACACAGCACGGTCCATGTGCTCCAAAAATGTCTACAGCAGAATGAACCATACCCAGGGTTATCCTTGATGAAAGAAGAGCCACATCATCCTAGAGGTCGTATCACATGACGAAGTGCATGTGAAAGAGGCGTAGCTCTTAATTTGAAACAAGACATAGGGCAGGACCCTCACAACACAGTGCCCACCACAGAGCAGAATCATGGCATCAACCATGATTAGTTGGCAAGCTCATCTGAAACACCATTTCCAGGGGGAGTTGCCTCAGATAGCTGTGCAAAGTACATAGCAAAAGCTGTTAGGTAACTTAGGTCTCCTGAGTCAAAGAAAGAGACAATAAGTAGTTTTAGGCTGGGCCTAATAAAAATCCTTTCAGGGAAATCCCCAGAGGTTCATGGAGCAGTTTAGAACACAGATAAAGGACCAGGAAGCTGTATTTTTTTTAGCCAAGTTAATGAAGCATGATAACACTTTTCATAATTTGTACAACTATATAACATAGGATTCAACAATCCTACCAAAAAATGAAATGGAAATCAATACCTATCCCACTCAAACTCCAAGAAGATACTGGGTAAACTATTTGGGTAGGGCCACTAGCACCTGCTCCTGACCTATTAAAAACAGACAAGAACTAGGCCAGGAGCGGTGGCTCATGCCTGTAATCCTAGCACTCTGGTAGGCCAAGGAGGGAGGATCACTTGAGCTTAGGAGTTCGATACCAGCCTGAGCAAGAGTGAGACCCCATCTCTAATAAAAATAGAAAAATAAGCTTGGCGTGGTGGCGTGTGCCTATAGTCCCAGCTACTCAGGAGGCTGAAGCAGGAGGATTGCTTGAGCTCAGGCATTTGCAGTTGCAGTGAGCTATAATGACGCCACTGCACTCCAGCCTGGGTGATAGAACAAGACTCTGTCTCACCAAAAAAAAAAACAACAAAAAAAAAACAGAAATAGACATTCAAAGCTGGAATTCTGTGTGAATAATCCATAGTGATCTGGTCTCACTTGGATGCTAAATTTATGATTCTAGGGGTCACCAGGTGCTAGTGAGAGAGCTATTGGGATGGCAGCAGGGAGGAAGGGAGAACTGAGCTGATGGTTATTTCCTGCTGAAGCCAGGCCACTTGCAACTCACTGATCCACATCCATGGTCTTTGTTCCATTAACAGTCAGTGAGTGTGTCCTGCCTTTTGTGCCAGAGAATGAGTTGCATTCATCTCACACCAGCCGTTTCTTCTTACTAGAAGTCACAGTCTTTTTAGGACTGCCACGGACTCCGCCCATACTCCTATACACAGGGCAGGTTCAGGGCATGTCTGCCTGTTTCGAGTGGAGCTCGGAGAGCTAGTGAGAGATGGCAGAGGAAGTGGCTGTAGAGTGGGGAGGCACAGGACAGAAGGGCCGGAGGGACTGAGATTGAGCCTGGCGGTCTTACTGTTACCATGTGGGGTGTGCGGTACCAGCCAGGCTGCCCGCACTGTACAGAGTGAGTTGCTTCACGAAAACACATATGCAACTCAACTTCCGTGTAATATGCTCCAGGACAGTCTCTCCTTCTAAGAAGCCAGGAGTGTAGTCCAGAGGGAAAAGTATGAGCTTTAGAAGCAGACACACTTGAATCAAACCACAGCTTTGCCACTTCATTCATTCAGTCATTCATTCATTCAAAAACTTATCTACAGTGCTGACTGTTCCAGGCATAACAATGAGGGAGACAACACTGTGTATTTCTTGTGTTAACTTGGATAATTTAGTAATTTTTGTCAGCCTCAATCTCTCATCTATAAAATAGACATTACTTACTCTGCAGGTAGGTTGCAGGTTCTCATGAAGATTGAAATAAGGATACAACTTCTGGCATATATCAAATTTTTTTATATTGTGGAGTTGAATTATGTAATTTGCTATTTTGCATTGTTACGAGGCTTAAAACGAAGCCTACTTATTTATAACCTACGATAATGTTACTCTTATCAAAGTTCCCTGAGTAAACATCTCTCTCCCACTAAAAGACTAAACTTCTATTCACTCATATTCATTAAATGGAGGTTTCAGAACCTTAAGTTTCTGAAACTCAAGTCGTGAATGTTACAGCTACACATGAGTCCCTGCTCCATGGAAGAGCATGCAGCACACAAACCTGGAGGCCCCTTTCATCCTGTGACCTGAGTTCTTTGCCTCTTAGGACTACTGGCTGGGGCTTCAATGGGTCTCACGATTGACCTGACCTGACTTAAAGGGGGGTGAAGAGAGTATGGATGAAGAAAAAGAAGCACTTTTATGTTTGTTTTTGAGGGGAGGAAAGGCCCACAGTATGGCAGTTGGCACCCAGGAAGCTATAAGAGTTCTCCATGAGGCCCCTGTGAGACGTGGCACAGCTGTCCTCAGTGGGTGGCATGAACTACAGGCCCAGTCATCTTGCCCCTGAGCGGTTAGGGAGGCACAGAGAGCAACACTAGAGTGCTGGTCCTGGCAGGGATGGAACATCCTCTGAGGACCCCAAATCGCCCTTAGAAAGGAAGACCTGGGGACAGGGAAGCTTAACATCAGCACACAAGTGTCCTGTGTGAATACGAGGAAATGAACAGATAGCAAGGAAAGCAGGTGGGGACCCTGGGGCCGGCTAAGCCTGTCCCTCCCTCTCTCCTTATGCAGCCATCTCACTGCCCTGGAAGGACTGCAGGGTCTAAGAGTTCTCTTTCTCCCACGATTAAAGGTCCTGGGGAATTAAATCACAAGCCTTTCATCTCTGTGACATACAGTTCATCACCACACACAGGGAGATGGTGCCCACTGTGTCACTTTGCCTAAGGTGAGTTTACTGGACCCTGGCCTGGCAAAGCCAGGAAACTCACATGACAGATGCTATGTAAATGCACCTTAGCTATCACTGACAGTTTAGTTGCCAGGACTTTTCTTAGGGAGACTGGGGGCAGATTTAATCTTTAGGAAAAATGTAGACTTCACCAACATAATGTTTGAGTACTCCCTTGTAAACCTAGAGGTTGGCCATCTCTAATGGGGGCCCCAAGAGTATCTATGACTTTGTTTAGTAAAAGAAGACAGTACATCAGATTCGTGGGCTTCTCTCTCGTGGGCCACATGCACATCTTGGTGTCGAGTGCTGCTCAGAGAACAGGGCTCACGGTCTCCTGAGGGGAGCCTTCTGCAGACGAGCCGGGAGGACCTCATGGACAGAAGGAGGGGAGTGAAGATGGTGTGCAAAGCCCACTCCTGGGACAGGAGAAGGAATATGCCTCACACCCTAAAGCCCATCCAAACCCTCCCTCGACAATGCTGGATTCTTCCTGCAACAGCTCCGCCCAGCTTGGGTGAAGTCATCTCCTCTTCCCCCAAGGCAGTTACCTGCTTCCCCTTCACCACGTGCTTGGGCACTGGCACCCTGACCTCCAGGTCGGTGTAGTCCTGTGACCAGGTATAGTTCTCACGGACAGCACCATTGTAACTGTCAGGGTTTTTCTGGAACTGCTCCTGAATCCTGAGAAAGAATAAGAAAGGTTAAGATGCCAATTAGGCAGACATAAGCAGAGGACCCCACCAGCAGCCCGGCACATGCCACTCCTACATCCTGAAGGAGTGACTAACTTGAGTTTCATCTCAAGCTCACCTGCTTTTGCATCTGCAAACTCTCTCTTTTTTGGGTGATTTCCTTTCTGACCCTTCTACATAGTCTCCCAGGAAATCACAGGACAAGGGAAAAGCTACAGAGAAGAAACTCAAGTGCAGCATCCTTGAGTTTAGGAAAAGTATCTGCGACCACGATCAAAGCACAGGCTGGTTCTGCTGGCCTTCACAATAGGGACCTTGTGAATAAGATCCTTGGGTTCATGGGTGCTTGGTCTCTTATAAACTGCTTGTCAGGGCCCACCTTTAAAAAACAAAAAAAGGCAAAACAGTTTCAACCTGTAGCTGCTAAAGTTCACTCCTAATCCAACCCCTGGTCTCTATAGTTTCTCCCAGTAAATAAATCAAAGCCAAAGGGGCTACATTAAAATCGTATATATCATTATTAAGACATAAGCAATACATGTAATGAGACGGCCTAAAAAACCCAATCAACCAAATCCTATTGTAGATGCCTGTTACAAACATAGCACAGATGCAAACAGGCCTAGCCAAGAAGCTGATGTTAAAAATATTTTCCATAAAACTTAACAATGTTAATAATATAAACATTATATAAAAATAAGTTTAGACTCCTAAGTCCATTATAGTGACAGACAAAAGCCTAGTCATGAAGGAGGCAGCAGCTATGAACACAGAACATTCCAACAGCAGGGACAGCTCCGTCAACTGGGCCTGCTCAGAGACCAGCAGATGAAACCTGGCAGGGAGAGTGCCCCACGGGCCCGCAAACGTGTGCACTGTAACTCCACTCACGCAGGAAAAGACAAAACTGTGTGTACATCTGTGTAGATGCACCTAAAAGACAAGGGTGGGGAAGGGGTAAAGAGGACACACTTTCTCTGGCCAAAGTTCTAAGACAGAATATATTTACCTACAGTTGGTATGCCCTGCCCACTGTATATGCGTGAGGCTGGGCCTCTACCACAGCTCAATTTCTCAATGTTGGGTAACTGGTGACTGTTAAGAGTTGAATTATGTTCCCCAAAATGTTATGTTGGAGTCTTAACCCCCAGAATGTGACATTACTTGGAAATAGGGTCTTTACAGGGGTGATCTAGTTACAATGAGGTCATTAGGGTGGATCCTAACTCAATATGACTGGAATCCTTAAAAGGGGACTTTGGACACACAGACAAACATGCACAAGGAAGACTACGTGAAGAAGGCCATGTGAAGAGATTGGAGTGATGTGTCCACAGGCCAAAGAATTTCAAGGACCGTCAGCCACCACGTGAAGCTGCAAGAAGCAAGGAAGGCTCTTCCTGAGGGCCTTCAGAGGGAACACAGTCCAGATGACACCTTGATCCTGAACTTCCCACCTCAGAAGTGTGAGAGAATCAACATCTGTTGTTTAAGTCACCTATTTTGCAGTACGTTTTTGCAGCAGCCCGAGCAAACACAGTAGCTAAGGAAACTGATTTCAATCAGAGGTGATATTCAAAACTCAGCACTGAATATTGGCAGGACTAGGCACTGACTAATTGGAAGGGATGCCAGCCTGAAACTGTCCACACGGGCAGGCCACTGTGGGGCACAGTGATGAATATGGGAACCAAAAGCCACACAGGAAGCCCAGCTCAAGGGCACAAGAAAACAGAGTAGGGGGAAGGAAACTGAAGAATGGTCAATACCTTGAAAACAGGAAACAAAAGAAAGATTAGTCTAGATATAACCAATAAAGTATTTTCAAAGACTATTTAGTGATATGGAAAAAGCTTTCAATATATTATAGAACTGAAAAGAGGGTATATGACTTCTAAGTATGATATGGCTCCAGATTCTACGAAGAAATATATATACATACTTTACACACATATATGAAAAAGACTGAAATGAAGCACATTAAATCTTTGTGGTTATCTCTGGTCGTGGAATAACAAGAAATCTGACTGTCTTCTTTGAATCTAGGTATTATCCAAATTCCCTAAAATAAGCAGACATTTTTATAACCAAGAGAAAAACAGTTCTCTTTAAAACTGTTGATGAGACAGTGGTGTGCTCTGCAGTCCCTATATCCAGGAGCCCTCCTAGCCTTCCAGGGCCTGACCCCTGGAATAGGGTGTGAGAGGAACCGGGTACAGCAGGAGAAACTCACCCAGTCCCTGAGTTTCCATGGGATCCTTCCACGTGAGCACCAACAGCAGCTTAGAGCTCACATTTGATATGGATACACTTGAACCTGTAGAGAGTATCTCCAAAAGAACAATAGGTAGCAGCAGCTCCTCTGTGGCTGAGAACTGGGAAGAGACTTCCAGGAGGACTGACGGCCTCGTGCACATATTATCATTTGAAAATAATAAAAATTATGAAAACAGGTAATTTTTAATTATTTCTACACAAGCAAAATGAAGACCAACATGGCCCTAGTATTTGACAGAGATCAGGGAATAAACATGAAGATTCTTCAAAAGTTGGAGAAGAAACAGTTCTGTCAAGAGAGGAGAAAGAGCACAACGGGGGAGGGAGGGCACCTTGGGGATGCTGCTTCCAACAACACAGCAGTCACTCGGCCCACACCACCGGTGACGCCCACACATGCTCTGCCTCTTCCAGGGCTAAGGGCTGCCAGTCTCAGCCTGGGCGGGGCAAGAGGGGGGCGGGATGACATCTGCCACCCTCACTCCCACACCCTGTCGCCAAAGCTGTGTGCTTGTGGAGGGGGCTCTGACCACATAGGACCCGCCTCGCTTTGTCCTCCCACAGTGTCCTCAGTAGCCCTGGCCCCAGCTTCCCCTGCATAGAACCTGCAGCTTCCTTCCAAAGGAGGCAGGAGAATCACTCCTAAAACAGCCCTAGCAAGTTGTTGGGTGCTTTTTTTAACACTCTGAATCCATATTCTCTTTACATAAAGATTATTTCCAGCCGACAGTATGTAAAAATAAGCGTCCTGCCAAGTGCAGGTGTCTCTGGCCCCCACTGTGCCACCATCGGTCACCCCTGCAGCTGCGGGCCTGGGCAGGCAGTGGGAGGCGGGGGAGCGAGCAGTGATGCTTCAGCACCGAGGGTGGGAGTAGGAAAGTGAGTCAGCAGCCAGGTTGCAGATTATGGAGTAGGTCTCACTGTGGCTCCCACTCCTGATGAGCTGGGATAACAAGGTTCTAAACGTGTTAAAGGAAAAACACAGAACAGGCTCCCACTGCCTGCCAGGTGCTGTGGGCAGCAGGGCCCTCTGTCTCCTTGAGGACAGGTCCTGACTGTCAGACCCTTCCTGGCAGACTGCAGGCCTGGGTGCTGCTGAGTGGGGCAAGTTAGGTACCAGGGTCACCTGCACAGGAAGAACTGGAGGCACTCTTGCCAGGAGTCAACATAATGCAGGCAAGCAGGAGTGGGGGTCACACCTGGTCGGGATCCTGACCCACCCACCCAGTCTGCCTGTTCAAGTGTTGCTACTAGGAACAAAAGGCCCTCTTTTGTTTGCCCTTCTTCATGTAGCACAAAGGTCACCACCTCTGTACACTGATGACAATGTCCCCATTACCCTCATTTCCCTCAGTTATCCCAGGTGTGAAAGCTGTCATCATACTTACTACCACCCACCTGTTGACTCTACTGACACCTGTGCCCTCAGGGGAGGTATTGCAACATGTATGTGCAACGTGCATGTTGTGTTATGGTCTGAATGTTTGTGCCCATCCCTTCAAATTCATATGCTGAAATCCAGACTCCTAAGGTGATGGTAGTAGGAGGTAGGGCATTTGGGAGGTGATCAGGTCAGGAGGATGGAGCCCTCATTAGTGGGATTACTGCCCTTATAAAGGAGGCCCAGAAGAGCTCCCTCACCCTTTCCACCATGTGAGGACACAGCAAGAAAACACAAGTCCGTGAACCAGAAAGTAGGCCCTCACCAGATACGAAATCTGCTGGTGCCTTGATCTTGGAATTCCAGCCGCCAGATCTGTGAGAAATACGTAGGTTATTAAGTAGGAAATGCCCAATCTCCTTACGTACTAAGTTTGGCAGTTGACATCTCTGATGTTTCACTTTGACACTTCTTGTTTTATTTTTATTGTGAAGGTACAACCTCATTCTTTCAAACATGGTTTAGCTTGTGATTATCTTTCAAATTTTTTCTTAGAGCAATTTTTGTGAAACCATGGATAAACTCAAAAATTCCTGTTATTTTTGAATATGAGTTCTATCGTGGAACCAATGCAGTGCAGACAGCTCAAAATATCAATGAAGTGTTTGGGAGGGATGTGGATAATGAACGCACAGTACTTTGATGGTTTCAGAAGTTCTGTTCTGGTGATTTTAATCTAGAAAATGAGCCACATTGGCAACCTGAGACAAAGGTGGATAATGATGAAAGGTGGATGATAATGAAAGCTGTAGTGGAAGTGAATCCATCTCAACCTACACGTGAATTAGCACCAAGGTTTGACATTACTATTTCAAAAACATTAGACCATCTGAAACAAATGGGCAAGGAAAAGAAGCCTGATAGATGAATTCCACATGAATTAAACAAGCATCAGAAGAGAAATTGTCTGGAAGCTTGCCTTTCTTTGCTGTCACGACATAAAAGCAAATCATTTCTATACCATACTGTTACGTGTGATGACAATCACAAGCATTCGGCACAAGAGTCGAATAAAGATGAAGTGCTAAACATAGTCAAAAGCGAATATTCATCATAAAAAGCTAATGATGTCTGTTTGGTGATCCAGCACTGGCATTATCCACTACATCTTCATGAAACCTGGTCAATCGATTACAGTGAATGTCTATTGCAACCAGTTGGATGAAATGATGACGATGCTTACAATTAAGCAGCTGAGACTGGTTATTAGAGATAGGCCAATCCTCTTGCAAGACAACACTCCACCAGATGTTGCACAAACAACACTGTTC